GAAGCATATAGGTCACAGTGAGGTCATAGTGACCTACTTCACTACACCATCCTAAGATATCCTTGTTCACCAAATCTGGTTACTCCAGGTGAACTGCCATCGAAGATATGCCCGGTACAAATACTTTCCAAAGTAAACGTCAAAGGTCAAGCCATACGTCACAGTGACATAAAGCTTGCACTCTGCACTCCTCTATCCCAAAATATTCTTGGACATCAAATCTGGTTACTCCAGGGGAAATAGTAGAAAAGATATGCCCGGACCAACTTTTTTTCAAAAGTAAACGTCAAAGGTCAAAGCATATATGACACAGTTAGGTCAAAGTGACATTTTTCTTGCATTCTTCACTCCACATTACAAATATGTCCTTGTACACTAAATCTGGTTACTCCAGGTGAAATAGTAAAGAAGATATGTCCCAGTCCAACTTTTTCAAAAGTTAACGTCAAACGTGAAATCATAAAGGACACAGTTAGGTCAAAGTGACATTTTTCTTGCACTCTTCACTCTGCCATCCAAAGATGTCCTTGTACACCAAATCTGGTTATTCCAGGTGAAATAATATAGAAGATATGTCCCTGACAAACTTTCGTCGAGAACCCTTCAGGGACTGAACAAATAATAAAACAATGTACTTTTTTTTTCAGTTCATGAACATCTACATGTTTGCCTAAATTGCCAAGCCCCATGCCCTAGGCTAGTAAAAAATGTCAATGTTTACTTTGAAACATAAGTTGGGCTTGTATTTGTTTTTTCGAAACATCACTAAATACTTTGTTGTATATCTCGGCCATGTATGGCCTCTGAATGGGCTAGCATGATTGTATTCCTGGGTGGTTGCCAGTAGGCGTTTTTCATTATAGGACACTAATTTCAACCATTTCAATATTATTAGGTCACCATGCTGGAGTGACAGGACCCTAGGAGCAATCACAGTTAGTACGAGTGTGTTAATCTTTTCCTAACCTGCAAAGAGCATGGCCATTTCTAAGTACACACAGACAAACAATAAAGAACTGATGATGTTACAGCATCTCTCATTTACAAGCTTTACCTGGTCTGTAGCAGTGTAGGTGACATGCAAACGCAATAAAATTAGTTCAAAGATGATTCTAAATCAGTATTTAGTAGTTATGAAAGATGATTCTAAATCAATATTTTAAAAGTAATTATATTATTCCCATTTTGTAACTCTAAACTAGCATTCAATTTCTCAATATTCCAATATTGGAGAAGCAATGGCTGCAATATCCATTCCTTTTGAATAGCTAAATGATAAAATAACTTAATCATTTACATTTAGATGTAAGAAAGCATTATATTGTGAACATATTTTGAACCTAAAACATGATACCACTGTACCAGTATCTTCATCCACAACAATTTCTTCAAATTCTTTTTTAGAACATTGATTCACAAAAAATGTAGAAATAGTGCAGATAAACACCCAGGGGATTGAGTGTAGGGGCCAAAAGGGGGTTAATATTGCCATATTGCTTTGAATATCTTCTCTTGTAAAACTATGAGAAGGATAATGGGATAGTATCCATATTTGCCTGGAAGCATTGTGAGGAAGTGGGAATTCAAAATTGTACAAATAGAGAGGCCAAAATCCCCACAAAAACTCCACATGGCTGTGGCCTTCTAGCATAGGAGCAATTTGATCAAAGTGGGTCAGTGTTCAAACTTAACGGTTAAGACCCATAGGCAATCATAATGGTGTGTATATGGTGTTTATATTGAAATTCTAAGACTGAGTGATTTAACTGAATTCTTCTTTGGATCTTGGACAGTTATTTAAAGTATATTTATATATAAATTAACCTCCCCTTAATTTTGTTTTGGATACATAAATGTAGCACATTTGGGCAAGGACAGTTCCAATGTCAATGATCATGCAGCTCAATCAGCTCAGTCTGCTATATATTATATATAGTGCAATCTGAAGTCCACTGGGTTCAAATCCTGGACTAGCCCTGGAGAATTTTACACTAAGAATTTAACTGCTTTTTATTATATTTTGTTTATTTCATTTTTATTATAATGTTTTCATTTAAGTCTCACAAGGTATGCTTTTCTTTTTAAGAATTTCTTTGTGAAAGAGGGTATCAAATTGTAAATTTGGGGTCCCTGCCGCTACCCCAGGGGCTAGGATATATATGGGGCTTCAAAGGTAAAATTGACCAATATTTCAAAATTCTTCTTCAGATTCAGGTGAACTGTTCATGGACAGAAAGGTCCCTAGGTGTTTTATCAAAATTGCGCCATAGTCATCAGGTCATCCTTTGGGAAGGGGTATAGTTTACTATAGTTTATATAGGGAAATGATGTTTTTAGGCGTATTTTGTTTTTAACTCTACAGGAAATAATTCAAATTTGCTTGAAATAATAATGAGATATCAATTTGATGCTATCAGAAAGTAAGATCCTGACTCACCCCTTGGTTCGGAGGGGCAGGGCCATTTGGAATATTGGCTGATTTTTAAAAGTGTTCTTCTCTAGACTCAGATTTACTAGAATCCAATACTAGTACTCTTGATGGATGGAAATGTCCATACATGCTTTATCTAAATTGAAAAGTTTATTACAGTGGCGGAACCAGGGGTGCTACCCTAGTTGCCCGGGCAACACCATATTTGTCTATCTTTGTCCAAAAATAATCTGGACCAAGGTTTTTGAAGATTTCGTTTCTTCTATTTCCAATGAGATTTCCTTCTAATACAAACCATCCCTTGAACTATGATTTTCTATGACTTCCCTTTGCCAGCAGTTTGAATATCTATATATGCCTAAGGGTGTTGCCAAAACAAGGAGTCCACTACTTATACACTAAACAATAGGGGATTCATCCTCTATTGTCTATATATTAGTAGGGTCTCCAGTCAGGTCAGTGGTCAAGGCTCACCGGACTGACTCTACCTAACGTTACCGTTCTAATGTCAAGGTGTGATGATCACACTGTCAGTTGAGAGAGGACTTTGTCGTCTGTTGGAATCTTTCAAAAGTAGAGTCCATTTCATGATAGATAAACCTGTATTTTCACCTGTGGTTTCATGTACACATGATCGCAAGGAGTGATTTTTTATACGAATTAAAAAACATATATTTCAAAAATATCAAAGACAATGAAGCACCCTCCTTAGGATTACTCTATCAGGAGAATAATAACCAATGTTAGCATAAAAGCCTAGCATGTATATCCTTTTCATTAGGTGTTGCCCTTGTACATATGTATATCCTTTTCATTAGGTGTTGCCCTAGTACATATGTATATCCTTTTCATTAGGTGTTGCCCTTGTACATATGTATATCCTTTTCATTAGGTGTTGCCCTTGTACATATGTATATCCTTTTCATTAGGTGTTGCCCTTGTACATATGTATATCCTTTTCATTAGGTGTTGCCCTTGTACATATGTATATCCTTTTCATTAGGTGTTGCCCTTGTACATATGTATATCCTTTTCATTAGGTGTTGCCCTTGTACATATGTATATCCTTTTCATTAGGTGTTGCCCTTGTACATATGTATATCCTTTTCATTAGGTGTTGCCCTTGTACATATGTATATCCTTTTCATTAGGTGTTGCCCTTGTACATATGCATGCATACACAAACTAAATCAATATTTAATTGCCAAAATGCTCGTCTAAACTACATGCACACGACACAAGCATCAACATTTTAAATAAAAAACCTACCTTTTTTACCATTTTTTAACAGAATTTGTTAACACTCGCTCCGCTGGGCAATCATAGAATATAGATACTCCACGTTATAAAATATAACCTGGAATAATACCGCAAACTGAGAAAACTATTCTACGCCTCACTCAATCTGTTTGACAAAGGAAATAATGTCCGACAAATTGCCACGCTCCGCGCGGGAGGGAAATCACAATTGTCACAATCTCAAAAATAATGCAGTTCTATATATTTTTTGGTGCCAGAAAGTGCAAAATTATTTTTTTCAGCACTTTTGTTTCCGGAGATTATCTCGGGACTCCAAAAGGCCGAAATTTCTAAAACTTCACATAGTGATATAGTGTGATATATATAGATGAGCAAAGGACCAGGAGTTTCACAATTTTATCAGGTCAAAGTCGAGGTCGCTGTTACTAAAAATTGAAAAGTGGGGCTATACTGTCAAAAACACATTACATGACCCTCAAAAGGCCAGATTTTGGTAAACATTTTGTTATGACATAATGAAGGAAAGTTGGTCATAACCAACAAGAAGTCATTATGTGTGCTGTGACCCATATCAGTATAGCATATGTGTATTTCAGACATTTGTAACGAACCCCTGTGATTGAACCGACTGACTTGAAGCAAGTCACACCATGGTGGGGGCGGGGAAGTCATGTTGTGACACAGACACGAACTGACAAAGTAGGCTACGCATACTTACTTTTAACCCACACATGCGCGTACATACATGTGTTTCAGGCAGCTCATCAGCATTGTCGCTGATAAATCTTGCACAGGTCTAGCTTTCGTGAAGCCGACGGTTGTTTTCTGGTTGAAAGAGTGACAAACACATATTAAAATTGGTACAGCAGACCTTTGAGTCATCCATGAAACTTGTCTGTAATGAGGTCAAAGCTGGTAAAATTCATTCCAAACTCATCCTCTAGCAGGCTTCCTGGTGAAGTTTTCTGTTCCGGTCTTTTTTAACCAATCGGAATGTGGCAAATTTTGAAGCCCGCGATTTTCAAACCGCAAATATATTTATTGCGAAACCAGATTCGTCAAAAACATAGATAACTTTTATTTTTAAACCCGTTTTAAGGAAGAAACACTTCAACCCATAACGAATACGTTTGCAAAGTTCACGTAAATAAGTTACGATTTGAAACATATTTTTTATTATCACAGAGATGTTTAAAACGGCGATTGTTTAGTCCGTTCTGCATGATGTAAAGGAAAAAGATTGCATAGTATTGTAGTTTCTTTTTGTGTTACTATATTATATTTTTTTGCTTGAATACATTTGCAGCAACGCAGGAGCGTTTCCAAATCAAGTGGATACGGATCCGTGAATCAGAGGAGTGACACAACATCACAGTCAAGTCTGCCAGCGGGCAAAGTCAGGTAAAACATTTGTTTTGTAAAATATCTACGTTGTGCGACTATATTGCTCGAACATGACTTAAAGTAACTGTTTCAAGTTGTGAAACATAATATAAGTAAATTGGGATTTAAATATTTCAAAAATATACAATCACACACACACATTTATAAAATAAATACAATATACATGTATATATTAGGTGTTAAGGTGTGTATTTAAAAAAAAATCAAATTATTTACCCGATGTAAATATATCATTATAGGTATACAGAATTTCTTATATTCAATTTCAATTTTCAAGATGCATTTTTCCAATTAGGGTCACTTGTACCAGATAACAAGAATCATTCGCCCCCTTTGGGTTGAGTTAAGGGATGTTAACCCTGGGTAAGGATTATTACAGCTATTCCGGATTGATCGTATCCAAACTCCGAACGGTAAATCTTTGCAACATTTCTTTGAAGTTTGCGATGCTACTATGTTCGTGTAGGTGGCAAAAGCCGTTTCCCCTCAGGTACAGCAGTGGACCTGACCCAATGTGTTACATTGTGAAGTTTGGACCAAATGCACTATGCATTTTATGGTTGAGTGTGATTTTACTATTTTCTTTGATATAATCGACAGTCGTGGTATTTGTAAGCTGAATACCATCTTATCCCAATGCGATCGATGATTCGTTTCCCGTACACTATAAAGTATTGACCTTATTATGCAAGTTTGGCGTTAGGTACTGTTAATGCAGTGTTGAAATGACGTCATGAATTGTAATGACTGGGAATCTCCTCATCTTATCCCAAAGGTGATACATATAGATTATCACACTCTGTTTTCAGGGTTGTTTTTCAAGATTTTTATTAACACTCAGACACATAATATGTGTATGGCAAATGAAGTACAATATAACTGAAAGAATGGACAGTTCAGTTTAGAACCGGTATGGTATAGTAACATGATATGACATACAATGGAATATAGATATTGATAATACAAAGCAAACTTACATAAACATACATATAATCACAAGTTATTTAACTATTTAAAACAGTTATACATATGCATCATTCAAAAAAGAGGAGCCATTTTGCTTAGGAAAATAGATAAACCTGTCAGAACTCGTTGATTGTATAATGATAAAAGACCTTATCATATATAATACTTGGGTTTGTACAATAATAACGACGAATATGTTTTGTTACGCAAGGTGGATATAGTTTTATTATTACTTTCAAATAGAAATTCCGCGCACAAATTACATGGTCGATTATCTCGGGGTATGTTATACCATCTATCTGTTTCAATTGGAAACTTCAAATTCGACGCGCGCAGTTCTGTTATTGGTGTTCTGATATGTTCTGGCAAATTTAGTAAATATTTTTCTAGATCAAATTCCGTTTTAGATAGAGAGTAGTACTGCCCACGAGATGAGCTAGTAATGTCATCGAACCATTGCTGTACAGAATGATCAATAAGCCGTTGTTTTAAAATGCATTTGTAAAATCCATCAGGCATCTGTAATTTATTATAAAATATGTAAGAAAAACCCGTTTCGTTGAAGATACCTTTTATATGGTTAATGCATTTGAACGAAAAAGTATCATCGCTTTGCATATTTAAAGCCAGTCGTAGTAATATGCTGCTAAGTTTGTTTTTGTTACTAATTATTCTATTCCAAAAACCTTACATTCTTAGTTTAACATTTATTTCCAATGACACACGACCTAGGTCGCCAGAAATCATACAATTAGTTGTCGAGAGAACAATTTTGCTCAACGTGAACACGTGGATAAAATCGAGAGGCCATCGCAGGTGGACTCGATAATTTCCCCACGTCCGAGCGATGAGAAATTTCTCGAACGACAAACACTGAAAATATTGTGTGATAAATTGTTTATCATCCATATACTACTACTTTATGTTTCTCCATTTAAAAAAAGTCAATCAAACACCATATTTTCCAAATGACTTCTAAGCTCAATGGCATCGATCGCAAATCAACTAGAAGGTTTTGCGCGGAGGTATACAATGAACTCTAGACTATGTCGACTTTTCCATATGCACATTTACGCTGAAAAATGGTGTTGCTATTCTCACAATATTTTTTCGTAACTTTATATATGTTGATTTATTTATGACGTTCTATTTTCTTACGTGGATAACTATTGTGTGGATACTACTTCGGTTTAGGACGTCATCTGGCGCGAGAAAATACGTTCTCGAATGACGGGAAATGGAAATGTCCGTTCTCAAGTTGTTCTCAAGTCGTTCGCAACTTCTTCTTGAGTATTTGGTTATAATAAAATCTTTCCCCGTCTCTGGGGTTAGACAGAACAAATTTCATCCAAGAGATAAGATTCTGGAATTAGTAGCCCGAGGCTTTGCCGGGGGCCAGATATTTTAGGATCTTCCCCCGGGTGTTGAGATTTGTTTGCCTACCTCAAAAGGTGGAGAGGTTTTCTCCCAAATGAAAAACTAACATAATATCTTGAAATACAAACGTTGGTTTCATAATTTCAAGCAGATTGGAGTTTTCTTCCATCTTCCATGATCTAATATGGTTGACTGTAGTTATTTTTTCTTCTTCTAATAAGGTCGTAGTTCCTGTGTACGTGATCACGTGAGTTTGCTATATTTAGTGCTGATTTGTATTGTCAATTTGATATTTTACCAATCTTTGGAGAGGTAGTAGTCTAAGGGCCAGTCATAATGTGTTTGGCTTGCAGAACGTCTAAACCAACATTGACTTTGCTAAAATATAAGAAATATTATTTGCAGATTCTGGGATACGTTTGAAATGGATGGGCCTTCGGACAAACGTAGAGGAATGAAAAACTACGTCAGAATAATACGTGCTCTAAAGCTGTTGGCGTTCATTGTGTTAAATCTGTCTTTACTACTGTGTACAGTGAGTCAGAGACTAGCTTTGCTATCGCTCATCCCTCCAGGTAAGGTAAGCACATACGGATTATATTTGATATTTCATACTGTGTACAGAGAGTCAGAGACTAGCTTTGCTATCGCTCATTCCCCCAGGAAAGGTTAGCACATACGGATTATATTTCATACTGTGTACAGTGAGTCAGAGACTAGCTTTGCTATCGCTCATTCCTCCAGGTAAGGTAAGCACATACGGATTATATTTCATATTTCATACTGTGTACAGAGAGTCAGAGACTAGCTTTGCTATCGCTCATTCCCCCAGGAAAGGTTAGCACATACGGATTATATTTCCTACTGTGTACAGAGAGTCAGAGACTAGCTTTGTTATCCCTCATTCCCCCAGGAAAGGTACGCTCATACGGATTATTTTAACTACTGTGAACAGAGAAACAGAGACTAGCTTTGTTATCCCTCATTCCCCCAGGAAATGTAAGCACATACGGATTATATTTCCTACTGTGAACAGAGAGTCAGAGACTATCTTTGATATCACTCATTCCCCCAGGAAAGGTTAGCACATACGGATTATATTTCCTACTGTGAACAGAGAGTCAGAGACTAGCTTTGTTATCCCTCATTCCCCCAGGAAAGATAAGCTCATACGGATTTTTTTAACTACTGTGAACAGAGAATCAGGGACTAGCTATGTTATCCCTCATTCCCCCAGGAAATGTAAGCACATACGGATTACATTAACTACTGTCTACCTTTGTCCTGTTGTGCTTTTGATTTAAACTATTTTTTTCGTTTTTAGAGAAAACAGACTGACGGTTTGAGTTAGCGGCATATAGTGTTTATAGTATTTTCATGGCATGAGAACCTCATCGTATACAATTTAGGAATGATCAAGATGATATTGATATGACACGACTGTTTGACACTTGACCAGCTGCCCCACTGTTGTGTCTGGCTCTTAGCTTCCTCATTGTGAATTCATACATCAGCTACTGGTATAGCGACTGCTATTGCATTCTAATTAACATTAAGGTTTGGCGTTTATTTTAATTGTACGTGTCTAGACCAACTAAACGTACAAGACAGACATGTCCTGGACAATACATCATATAATAAACAACCAAGGATATGTGGGTCCTAGTTGGCATAGCCCAGTGACTTTGTCAGCGTCCTCATCAATGTCACGTTTTTGGGTTAGGCTCGTTTGTGATTTAAGATAAGCTTAAGAATGGTTCATGGGTATCAACTTTAAAATATTTATTTTACAATGTTAATTCTACATTTAAGATTCAATTTTTTTTGTTGAAATGAAATTCAGAATGATGTTAATTTTAAAATTCTAAATATTTTGCATTGTAATCAGTGTCGCGATAAATATACTTCATAGACTAATGTACCTTTCGCTATTGATACAGCAGTGGTAGTACATGGTATGCCAGCCCTCAGGTGGTGTGACGTTCATAGTTCGTATGGTCCACATCGACAAAGTCATTAATTGGCTCACCATGCAAATCGTTTTTTGTCTTGCTCTGATTCACAAATAAATTGGCTGTTTATGTTCAAACTATTCCGCATAACCCTGAATTCTTGTTTATGAGATTGCATGAGAACAAATTGCGAATTTGTACCTTTGATAAAGATCTTAAGTGCTAATTTCTTGTGTTCTTTTTTCCACAAAGAGACATCGATGTCACCAAAATGAAGCGTTATCTCCGGTTGAGATACTCAGTCGGAGGATGCTCCTATGCTGTGGAATTTGTTTTCCATACCTGTTCATATTTCTTACTGGACTCTGGAGATTTAACTTTGGAAAGACGAAGCACCCCTCGCTTTTTTTCATCGTAAAGGTAAACAATAAATGAAACTTACACTTTACTCTACTTGCCCCGAATAAACGCGGTTTGTTATACGTCAAACTTAATTCTATTACTTTTTTAAAATCTCACACTTCATTGTACTAACTTTGTTGCATGTCACAAATCACTTCACTGCCTTTGTTACATGTCATACTTCATTTAACTGCCTTTGTAACATGTCACACTTCATTTAACTACCTTTGTTACATGTCATAATTCATTGAACTACGTTTGAAACATGTCACACGTCATTAAACTACCTTTCCTACATGTCACACATCATTTTACTACATTTGTTACATGTCACACATCATTTTACTACATTTGTTACATGTCACACATCATTTTACTACATTTGTTACATGTCACACTTCATTTAACTCCCTTTGTAACATGTCACATTTTATATAACTACCTTTGTTACATGTCACATTTCATTTACTACCTTTGTTACATGCCACACTTCACTTCACTACCTTTGTTACATGTCACACTTCACTTCACTTCCTTTGTTACATGTCACACTTCATTTAACTACCTTTGTTACATGTTACACTTCATTTAACTGCCTTTGTTACATGTCAAACTTCATTTCACTACCTTTGTTACATGTCACATTTCATTTACTACCTTTGTTACATGTCACACTTCACTTCACTACCTTTGTTACATGTCACACCTCATTTTACTACCTTTGTTACATGTCACATTTCATATAACTACCTTTGTTACATGTCACATTTCATTTAACTACCTTTGTTACATGTCACATTTCATTTAGCTACCTTTGTTACATGTCATACTTCATTTTACTTCCTTTGTTACATGTCACATTTCTTGTAACTACCTTTGTTACATGTCACACTTCCTTCTTCTTCCCTTGTTACATGTCACATTTCATTTAACTACCTTTGTTACATGTCACATTTCATTTAACTACCTTTGTTACAT